CCCCAAAACCCCAAAACCCCAAAACCCCTTGTTGCAAGAAGTTTATTGAATTTTATATAAATAATAAGATTTGAACAGGAATGGAACCAATAGAGAATACGATTAAGACTAAATCATGGCATCCAAAAAGAATCTGGAAGGAAAAGTCCTCAGATTCTGGATCCTTCACTATTAGAAAGAAGAGAAGCATTGCCACTAAGCTGGTACTTTCTAAGGATGTATTGCTTAAATCTATAAGGTAATAAAACTCACAAAAACTCACTCACATTTCTCCAGTGGCCAATTCTTCTCTTAGCCCAAATCTGCTCAGCAGTGTTGCTTAAAATGTCCTTTTCTGAAGTAACCCACTACTACTCATTACTCTCTATTAAATTCGGCCGCTAAAATCGCCTAAAATTTCTTAATTTCAAGCCAAATTCCTCTATTTTCCAAATTTTTCAAACCTCGCAAAATAGCTCATGCGTAACTTGGACTTTAAACGACTGACTTTATCTTAAAAACAACTTTTCCAGGCCCCAAAAGCAGGAAATACACTAAATTTCTCTTGAAACCAGTGAAGCTTTGACCCTCCCCTTTGGGTGCTACTAAGTGATAGGGTTTTAAACTATGTTTTTAGAGGAACAGATGGAATCAGCAAGCATTCGTTCCTGAACAGTCCTAAATAAGAACATAATTCCTCCAGTCAAGTTTGATAAACAACTTGGGGATTCCCAAGGGTTCATGAATCTTAGGAAAAGATCACAATATGATTTTAATACAGTAACATGTGAGGCAGAAAATTCACTAAGTTCAGGTAAGCCCCTTCCCAAAATACTTCAATTCTCTTCCAACTCCTCAAAACCTCCAACCCCTCCTAAACCTCCCCCAAATCTCTCCCCATCCTCCCCAGAAGCTCTATCACATTCCTCTAAAACTTCATACACAAAATTCCAAAAATCCCAAAAACTCATTCTTCAAAATCCCATCCATAATCACCCTCAAAACTCTCAAAAACATTCTTCATCTCAGTCAAAACCCCCAATTTCCTATTCCCTCTTAACCCATCCAAATTCCCAAATTTTTCAAAATCCCTTAAAAATCCTATAAATCTCACCGATTTTTCATATTTTAGGCCGAAATTGTTCAGAAGTTTCCAAAAGAATGCCAAAATTGGCCTGTCCGGGAAAATTGAAATAAAATTAAGGTGCTCAAAAATACCAAGTTTAACCCACGATATTACTGTGAAAAAGGTAGACTCATTTTGGACCATTAGGTCGCTTATTTTGGTCTAGGAGGCTTGACAAGTGATAAGAAAGTCACCATCCGGCTCAGTAAGAAACTTAAGAAGTGAAAAATTAGTACGGTCTTGGAAAATTCAGGGTTTACAGGGTTATAGAAGTTATTCAAAATTTCATATTTCGTTTTGCATTTGTGGTAGAGGGATATATGTGATTTAGATAGAGAGAAATAAACGTAATAGTATGGAATTTGACTCGTCTTCAACTGAGTCACGAAGTACTAAGAACGAGTTATCACAAGAAGAAAGAAAAGGGTCTCTAAAGTTGATCAGGCCTGTCAAATCGATCGATTTGACATCCAGGAAATCTTCTCAATCCCAAAATTTAAAGGCTAAGATTGAAATATCATCTGCGAATTCATTTACTTCCATTCCTAATCCCTTGGGGACGCCTTTGAAAACAAACACACAGAAGCCTCCATTACCTAAGAAGCAGATAAAGAGGTCTCGGATTTCCGAATTTTCTTTTTCGAAGTCTCACTCCTTCAACAGCAGCACAAGCAAAGGAAGGTCTAAAATTAGCATAAACACCCTATGATTGACTCCTAAGACTAAGCATAAGTTATCTCTGTCTCCTCATAGGAAGATACTCAAGCGGAGGTCCACTTGTACCAAAAAGTTATTACAAAGTTTGTAATATTCAATATTAGCTATTACATTTGGGGTTTTGGGGTTTTGGGGTTTTGGGGTTTTGGGG